GTTTCCGTGGTCTTGTGGCCGGCATGACTAAACACCAAGGTGCACGGAACGCTGTGACCTTCCCACCGAAGTGGTCCCTATTTATCTACTTGCAGTGTCTTGCTTTCGAACGGCTAGGTTGGCAGGAGCTGGAACTAGAGACGGGAGCTCACTCCGTCATGCGGCACACTCGGGTCTTGAACTGTTGAACTACCGACATTCCACAGCCTGCAGTTCAGCGTCTTAACCACTTGAGCCACCACAGCTCCCATAGCCCAGGGACTATGCAGTAATTCCATACATACCCCAGTGCTTAGAATTATTCATGGGGATTCTCACTACTTGCCCTAGTGTTCAATTTACCTGCTGTCCCTATACCTAAGGGCTGCAGATGTAAGACATAGAGGCTAATAAAATCCCATTGTCTTCTATGTACATAAGCATCCTAACTCTGCAGGAGAGCTAACCTAGCAGGAGTGCTACTTATAATACTATTGTATAATACTACAAGTTAAATTTAATTCTTTCTGTGCATTAGCCAAAATTATTCTTCAGAAACGTTTTTATATTTACAACTTCAAAAGCAATACTATCGATCCAAAATAAGAAATCAGACTTACAAAGTAAAAACAACCCTTCCCCCCCAATGCCTCATCACGTGTTACATTTAATTCAGGATATTTCATTCTGCCCCATATACATCTATTAATAATTTCTGTTGTATATTTCCAACAGGAAATCCCGATGAACTTCATTGACCCAAAGGAATATGATATTCCAGGTTTGGTGCGAAAGAATCGCTACAAAACTATTCTCCCAAGTAAGCACCAGATCTATATTTCAGCCACTGTTGCAGGCGGCTGAGATTTACAACAGAATTTTGAAGTGTTTGCTTTTCTTTTACAATTGTGAGATTCTGCAAGGAGTGTTTCAAATGTGTGGGAACAGTTATTAGTCATACTTGCTGTCCACATGCTAATTTCACGTATGGCTTCCCCATAATAGAAACTAGAGAAATCTCTGAAAAATTCAAGATTTATCTCAGTGGACTGTTCATATAAACAAAGAGATCATGGAAGACAGGCTTTTGGCCAGCTGCTGCACAAGTCATGCATTATTGTGGTTTGTGACAGGGGTTTATTCATAGCCATTTAGGACCAGAGAGTGATGGAAACCATATAGAGTGGTCATATGGCTCCCAGTGGATGATGGAGAAATATGGATGATGATGGAGAAAGTGATTCCTGAAATGTATTTTTAACTGTAGCATCTGGGAACATAATCATGGACTCTGTCTTATGAGCCATTAACCATGCAGTCCTAAGTAGAGTTACATCTTTCCAAGTCCACTAAACTCAAACAGTTTAGAAGGATGTAACTCTGCTTTTGTTACTGTTCATGGGGTTTGGCCACTTTGGCCACCAAACGAGAAGGGAGCCCGCACTGGAGAAGACCCTGATGCTGGGAAAGATTGAAGAAGGGGGCTGCAGAGGATGAGATGGTTAGACAGTGTTATCAATGCAATGAGCATGAAATTAAGCAAACTTTCGGAGCGCGACGGAAGACAGAAGGGCCTGGAGTGATGTGGTCCATGAGGTCGCGAAGAGTCGGACTCGACTGTGCAACTGAACAACAACAACAACAAACTCTGCTTAGGATGGCTCTGTAAAACTTCAGTAGTCCAGGGATGAGTGGTAGGACTTTGTTACTCTAGAGCAGTGAGGAGTTGTTTATTCTCTATAAACTGAGATTTGGGTACCCTGGTTAGAGGGTGGAACAGCTGTAAGAAGCAAGGTTCCAGTTCTGTTACACAGTCAGCAGGGGAGGTGGGAGTGAGATGGCAGTGCAGTAGGCTTGCTGAGTCCCCCCGGGGGGTGGGGAAACCCCCGCCCCAGAGGCCCGTTCCCCGCCGCTGGCGGATTGGGCCCCGGGGGAACCCCACCCTGATGTGCGTGTCACCCGGAAGTGACGCGACCACGCCGGGCAGGCTGGGGGCGGGGCCACAGTCATCCGAGGGAAAACTCTATGGTTTTCCCTCGGATGGTCGTGGCCCTGCCCCCAGTGTGCCCGGTGACGTCACGCTCCTCCTCCTCAGCCCGCCCCCTTGTAGCCCTGCCCCTCTTAACTGTAGATGCCCCTTGGGTCCCCCAAGTGGAGGAATTTCTGTGGCATGCTGTGAAGAGTTGGTGGGTGCTTCCCTGTTGCTGCCCAGAGCTTCCCCTTCACCGATGGGCCTCTCGGCATTCAGGGGACTTGTCAGGCCTGGCGACGGGCTAGGGGGCACAGTTGGGTGCTGGCGACTCTGCTGCTGGGAAGTGGCATGGCTGAGGTCGTGGGGCCATGGTGGCCATGGGCACTGGCCTGCCAGCAGGCCGTGCCCGCTTGGCTGGTTTCGATGATCCCCGGCCTCCCTGCTCCACCCAAAGGCATTTTCCTCCTTGTGTTGAGTGTGTGGGTCTGGGGGCCTGGGCTGTCATAGGAGCTCATGTTGGTCTTGGGAGTCGTGGGGACGGCTGGACCGCGGCCCGTGGCGGTGGGAGCAGGACAATGATAGTGCACTTAGCCCTGTATTGTGACCTCTGGCTAGAAGCCACATTTTAGGGTTGCAGGGAGAAAGCTTTTTTAAAAAAATCTTTCCATTTATTGATCGCTCAATCCATACAGAGCTGCCGGCTCTGAGCGATTTACAGTTACTCCTGAATTTTCACATGGGACTAACAATGCTGGGGGTAAGGGAGGACAACATATATCATTTAAATCACACACATTTCGTAGTCGACGGAGTTTGGTCGTTTGTAAGGTCCAGGCGTGTTCTGGCAGCATTCCTTCTTTTTTTCCCCCCCGGCGTCGCTTGATGTAGTCAGCATTGTCTCAGTCTCAGCGCACCACTGACACCGTCTGGCCGAATGGCCTATTGCAGGCTTTTCTTCGACACTGCGTAGGTCTTTCTCGGCTTTCGGATCTTACGCGCAGACCATCCAATCGGCTAACACAACCCCCACCGGGGGGGTGTTAGTGTGCCCACTCTCTCTAAGGAGTGGTACCCATTTTATCTACTCGCTGAAGATTTCGAACCGCTGGGTGGACGCCGAGCTAGGGACACGGACTGGCAGCTCACACCAGTGCGGGGCTCGAACTGACAGCAGTCTTGTTCAGCTCAGCTGTTTAACCAGAGGATAAATCCCCTGTGCCAACGCTCCCTTTTCCAGTTCTGCTTGCTGAGATGTAATAGTTCCGGACTTACCTGGGGCCACATCTGCTGCCATGGGGCCGGGGAGCAAGAGGAAGAGAGGGTTTTCCCCTTTAGATCCTTGGAGGCAGAGAGCCACAGCATCGGCTTCATTGCAGCCTTGGTGGCCTTGGCTTGCAAGGGAGGGGCGAGGATTCCAGGGGGGCCTGGAAGCTGGAGTGTTTTGCTCCAGCCGGCCCCTTTCTTGTTCAGTGGGCTGTGGTGGGAGCCATACTGTAGTCCTCCCCCAGCAGACGGGCTGGGGCGATCAGTTGTGTCACTGGCCGACAGGTGGGTCGCCTTATTACGGATCCTGCCCTGTGTTATGCCATTGCTCCTGCAATTGTGCTTAATAAAGGCTGTGGCCATTTCTTGCCCAGTCAGGGTGGTCATCTGCCTGTCACCCTCCCTCCCTCTCTTGTCCCTCAGTTGCAACTTTTGACTAAAGGCTGAACCAGTGATCCTATATATACATCGCTAATGCTCATTGCCACTGAGCTGTGAACCCTTTTGTTGTTCTTTCGCTAGACGGTTGTGGCTCCCTTTCACATAGCAGGCTTAATACAGCCTCAGTCTTCGAATCTTTAAACATCTATTGTGTAGAAAAGAGCACGAGTCCAGTAGCACTTTAAAGACTAACAAAACGTGGCAGGATATGAGTTTTCATGAGTCACTGCTCACTTCCTCAGATATCTGATGAAGTGAGAGGTGACTCACAAAAGCTCATACCCTACCACCAGGGGTCATTTCGTAGAAAAAGAGGTGCAGGAGCTCATTAGCATAACTTATTAGCATAACTTATTTGCATATGCCACACACCCCTGACATCACCGGAACTGTGTCAGAAGGCAACACCCACCACTTAGGCTCCATTGGACTGTTTTGGGTTGCTAGCTATTGGGGGGGGGGTGAACGTGCAGATCTGCCCTCGCAGAGAAGGGAGAGCTTGTACCTGAAGGTGGGCTGGGGGAGGGGGGGCTCTGCAATTTACCTGGCTGCTTCTTGCTCCTCGTGGCCCAACTGAGGACTGCTGGGAGCAGGGGGCGGGGCTTGTTGCATGTGCCTGCCCCCTGGGCTCCTTACTGCCGGAGCTCCGCTCCTGTGCGCTCCCGCAGGAAAATGACCCCTGCCCTGCCACATATTTTGTTAGTCTTAAAGGTGCTACTGGGCTCTTGCTCTTTTTTACTGCTACAGGCAGACTAACATGGCTACCCATCTTGAAACATCTATTTAGTTATCTACAAATTACAAGTCCCTTTTGAGTTATATGCAGGTCTAGGCTAATATCTGCAGACCTACCAAGTGTTTGCAGACCTACCAAATGTTTGTTATCAAGCCCTACCTGCATATTTATTTTATTTATTTGTATCCAATTTCTCCCTCAAAATATACCCCAAAAAATGACAGATCATGAAGAGGTTACTTGAATTTTATTGGTAGTCAAGCGCTAATCAAAGGAGGGTTTGGAATTTGGAGGAGGGGGAGGGATGACCAGGGATTTTATCAGAAGTATTATAGTGATGTATTGTAGTAATAAGTACAGATTTTTAAAAAAAGTTGGCGAGCAAATCTTGCATGAGTACCTCAGAATCTTGCGAGTCTTGAAGCCACTGTAATATAATACTGTCCCCCTGCCCTGCCACATTTTTTGTCAGTCTTTAAGGCGCTACTGGGCTCTTGCTCTTTTTTACTGCTACAGGCAGACTAACATGGCTACCCATCTTGAAACATCTATTTAGTTATCTACAAATTACAAGTCCCTTTTGAGTTATATGCAGGTCTAGGCTAATATCTGCAGACCTACCAAGTGTTTGTTTTCAAGCCCTACCTGCATATTTATTTTATTTATTTGTATCAAATTTCTCCCTCAAAATATCCAAAAAAAATGACAGATCATGAAGAGGTTACCTGAATTTTATTGGTAGTCAAGCACTAATCAAAGGAGGGCTTGGAATTTGGAGGAGGGGGAGGGATGACCAGGGATTTTATCAGAAGTATTATAGTGATGCATTGTAGTAATAAGTACAGATTTTTAAAAAAAATTGGTGAGCAAATCTTGCATGAGTACATGGGCAGAGTTACACAGGCGAGTCTTGAAGCCACTGTAATATAGTACTGTCTTGTTGGCTGTGTGGGTAGATCTTTGCAGGACCTGCAGTTTCTTAGACAGGATGACAAAGGGGCACCTTGCTAAGCTACCATAACTGTCCATGGCACTTTACAAAACAAAAAAAAGCCCCTCTCTATATTTGTTATTTTTCAGGGCACGACAGAGAGAAGAGGGGATGGCAAGGTTAGGAAAGGGTGATAGTAGTCCAAGCATGCTCTTCTTGAAAGAATGAAAACACGCTTAACCCCTACCTGTTGTTGGGACTACCACAATTTTCCTCTGCCAAAGACTATTAGCTGCCATACACGTCAGTGCACTATATTCCCAGTCACACGGGCCAGATAACGCGGGGGTGAGGCGTGGCTGTTTGCCCCGGCGCAAAATAAAGCACGTTAGCTCGATCACACAGTCTCCCGAGTCTTCGTGCTGTGGCAGGAAGCTCATGATCACACGGTGATGCTGGAGCTGGAAAAGAAGCCGTGTGGCAAGTGTTCCGTGTTTGTGCGCATGCGCAGTTCCGCAGAGCAACACTGCTTCCAGTTTAGTGTTCGTGCGCATGAGCTTAGGGAAACCATCTGGTTTGCGACGGGACTTGGACGGGCGCCGGAAGCCACGTGATACTAGCACTCCCGTGATCAGACGCCCGCCCCTGCCGCGCGTTTTCCGGATACTACTGCACTTTCTGAGGTATTTTTTTACTGTGCATCTTCGGCGGGATGCCACAGGTTTGCTACGGGTGCACTATGCTTCCCAGATGTTGCGGTGTGATCGCGCACCGATAATCCGCCTGCCATTTGTACCTTTACCGTGTGAACGGGGCCAATGTCAGTTACATGTCATAACTGGGGGAAAGGGAGAGGCCATAAACTCTAGCTTAAAGGACATATATATATGGCTTTGTGGACTTGGTTATTCCACTTCCATGGCTTACCCTAAGTATTTGGCTGCTGTAGCTTCATACTTAAAAGCGGCAAGTACTTTAATTGAAACTTGCCTGCAAAGCAGAATGTCTTGCTCTGAAAAAAAAAAAGTAAAAATATCTAAGGTTGTCTAAAACAGATGTTCACTCCAGTTAGAACTGAAAGGTAAACAGGCACTTAACTTAATGATCAGTTGCTTGCAACTCTACATTTAATTGCAGTTAGTGAGAGAAATGATAATAGTCTTTAATTCAGCTAATTTATATTTATTTTGTAGGAAATATCTTCTCCAGATTTACATATTTGTTGTGGGTAATTTTTTTTTTAAAAACGAGTGATGTCTTTTGCAGAAATTGGTTGCTTCATGTTTTCTGTCTTCCAAACTGCCAGCGTAACCAGATGAGAATGGATTATTTCAAGTTATCCAAAACCATGAGCTAATATTTTGTGGCAGCAAAATATAGAATTCAGTACTAGATGCCAGAAGTGCTACAAGTTGCACTGATACAGGAAACACAGACTGATTTCCCACAGCCGCTGCTCTGTGCTTGCTCCTCTCTTTGCCCCGATGGTACGTGTCAATTTCCCACTCGAAGCCACGTGGCCGCATTTTGACCCGCAGCTTCGCCGAATTCCCCCCGCAGTTTCGTGATCCTGTCTTTTGAGGATTACGAAACCGCGGGCAAAATCAGGCAAAGCCGCTGGTCAGAATGTGGCCGCACGGCTTCGAGTGGGAAATTGACACGTACCATCGGGGCAAAGAGAGGAGCGAGCGCAGAGCAGCGGCTGTGGGAAATCGGTCAGAGCTGCCTCCCATCTCTGCTGACACATCAGTGTTCAGTCAAAGCCCCATGCAGTGCAGCAGTGCTGTGGAAGGGTTTTGTTTTTAAAAGACTGTAACTGGTTTTGGAGCACCCTGCTTCCCCATTGCTGCGGGTGCAGTGTCGCTATCTATTAAGTCAGACCAACACATTTAAGATTTCCAGTGAGTTTAAATGATCATTGGGTTGGTTCATATTATTATCACCCCTTACTTCTGTGCTGTTATGTATAGTGTGCTGATAAAAGTGAAAACAATCTCATGTTTCTTTGCAGTGCATGACTTAAGTTATTACTTCGTGCTTTCTAGATCCTCATAGCAGAGTGTGCCTTACCTCAGACGATCAAGATGATCCCCTGAGCTCTTACATCAATGCCAACTACATCAGGGTAAGAACGAAGCAATCCTTAAGGGTAGTCATTCTCAGATTTTCTGAAGTGGCTTCCAGCCTTACCGTACTTTTCAGGACCCACTGGCAAAGTAACTCTGTACTGGAGAGCCAGTTTGGTGTAGTGGTTAAGAGCGGCGGACTCGAATCTGGAGAACCGGGTTTGATTCCCCACTCTTACATGTGCAGCTGCTGGGTGACTACTAGTACTACTACTTCTGCTGCTGCTACTGCTACTACTACTACTACTACTACTACTACTTTTCTACTCCCCAGCATAAAATGCAGGATTCTCACCCAATTTAATAGTTTATATTTTGTTTTTCATGCATGGTATTTGTAAATATATTGCACTGCTCATCTACATATTGTATTTTGTAGCCATTGTGTATATTATGCAGAGGCAACCTCAAACTTGCCATCAAAGTCTCCCAGGGCCTCCTCTCCCTGCTCACCCTGTTTCTCTTCCTAAATCCTGGACTTGCAACTCAACCTCTGAGAGACATGCAGCCCACTTTTGGGTCCAGACTTACAGTTTGAGAACCAGTCCTTTGTGGTTTTCTGTGTGGCCTATTAGGCATCGTTAATTTATGAGTAGTATTCAATCTGGGAGTTAAAATACATTTTAAATGATTTTGGAAACCAGCTTTTAATGGTCTGACACTGAATATTTGTCATCCATACTAACTGTTTCCACACTATTTGGATTCAGCAAAGACCAAAATGAATGTTATGCTAGACCAGGGGTGGCCAAACTTGCTTAATGTAAGATCCATATAAAATAACAATCAGATGTTTGTGAGCCACAAGACATGAACAAATATCACATACATTTTAATATGCAAATTTGCTTTTATTAACATTAAATGAAACTTCCACAAATAAAAACAGAAGGGGTAAAAACAGATATTGATAATGATATTTATTTGTCCAGTGATATTTATTTGTTTGCTAATGGTATTTATTTGTCTAAAAGAGAGAGAGGTGGAAAGAAAGAATGAAAGGTGGGGGGAAAAAAAGAAACAAAGAGAAACAAAGAAAGCAAAGAAATGGGGGAGGGAGGGGGAAGGAATGGAGAAATAGAGAAAGAAAGACGGAAAGAAAGCAAATAGATGGAGGAAGGGTGAGGAAGGGGGAAAGAGAGAAAGAAACAGAAAGAAAGAAACAAAGCAAATAGATGGAGGGGGAGGAAGGATGGAAGGAAGAGAGAAAGAGAAAGGTGGAAAGAAAAAAGAGAGAGAGAGAAAGAGAAACAGAAACAAAGAAAGCAAATAGATGGGGAGGGAGGGGGAGGAAGGAAGAGAGAGAGAGAGACAAAGGAAGGGAGAAAGAGAAAGAAACGTGAAAAGAAAGAGGTGGAAAGAAAGCAAATAGATGGTGGGAGGGACGAAGGAAGGGGAAAGAGAGAGAGAGAGAGGTGGAAAGAAAGCAAAGAAATGGGGAGAGGGGGGAAGGAAGGGAGAGGTGGAAAGAAAGCAACTTTAACTTTAAATGTGTTCTCCAAACCCTACGCCCCCACGCCAGCCGGCTTGACTTTGAGAAAGCATTTAAAGTTAAAGTTGCTTTCTTTCTCTGCTCCCCCCCCCCAGCCTACCCAGGCTGGAGAAGAGAAGACCGATCAAGGAGTCATGCCTCACCTTAGCTTCCCCAGCCACCCTGCCGGGAGCCACACAATATGTGTGCAAGAGCCGCAGTTTCACTGCCCCTGTGCTAGACTAGACCCTGCAGAATCCTGCTTGGCTTAGCCATGTATCTTGCATACATTGCTCCTATTGCCATAGCAACTGTTGGCGGCCGGTATAAACTGAAGCTGCGCCTTCTGTCCTTGGCCTATGGATATTTTGGTGTGTGTGTACGTATGTATGTCTGCCAGAGAGAAAACGCAAGGATGTTTTTTTCTGTTTCACCGCCAGTTTCTGTGCGAAGACTGGCAGACTAAGGACTGTGCACAGTTTAATACCGATGAAACCTTGTTGCTTTGTTGGCAGGGCTATGGAGGAGAAGAGAAAGTGTACATTGCGACTCAGGGACCCATCGTGAATACTGTCAGTGACTTCTGGAGAATGGTGTGGCAGGAGCGTTCTCCGATTGTTGTCATGATCACCAATATAGAAGAGATGAATGAGGTAATGCTACATCTATCCTGTGTTCTAGCTGATGTTCCCACAGTGGGCACCTGAACCATCAGAAATGATCAAATACAGCATACCTCCAGTTGTGGAGTTACTGGATTTTAAAAACTTGTATTCTGTTCAGTGGCATTATGCCTCTCTTGTACATCGCCCAGAGCCTGGCATAGCTGGGATAGGTCGATTAACCAATCGAAATAACAACAACAACAACAATTCTGCTGTGCAGCTAACTTCAGTATGTTATAAAGGCTTAACAAACAACACATCCTCCAAAATTTAAGCTCTGTTTCACTATTGAAGAGAACAAATATACTTTTCTTCAGGGCATTTTTTTTGTAGAAGAAGCCCAGCAAGAACTCATTAGCATGACAGGCCACACCCAACAGCAGGAACTCAGTAGCATATTAGGCCACACCCCTGACAGCACAGTTTATTAGCATATTAGGCCACACCCCCATGTTATCAGAAGTGTGGTCATCCAGCCACACCCACCTTTTGCTTCTTATTCTGTTTACCTTGTTTGTTGTCAAAACCCAGGGCTTTTTTTGGAGCAGGAACTCCTTTGCATGTTAGGCCACACACCCCTAATGTAGCCAGTCCAAATGAGTTTCTGCTGTTGGGTGTGGTCTGTTATGCTAATGAGTTCCTGCCAGGCGTGGCCAACTTGGGAGCCAACCGGAACTCTGTTCCTGTGCGTTCCTGCCCAAAAATAGCCCTGCTTTTCTTACATAATGCTTATGAGATACAGGTGACTTCCCTGAAGATAGTGCTTCTGGTGCACGACAGAAATTACATTTCCCCCCCAGAGTTTTGCCTTTGGGAAAGCTGGGTTTCCCCTACCTGCTAATACTTCAGTTACAGGAATGAATGCTACTTTGAATGTGACTGCATTAGAGCCCCGGTCAGCAATTTCTGAGGTACAATTTTGGCACAGTAGGGAGGGATGATGTGCCAGCACCCCGACTCTGCCTTTGAAAGTACTCAGTGATGAATTCCGTTGCTACTGAGTCCACTTTCTTCACACCTGTTTTAATTCTTGGATGTCACTGCAGGCATTAGGGGGCTGGATTTGGTTCAGGGACCTTTTGTTTCTGACTTCTACACTAGAGTCATAGGCATACAGCATAATATTGATATTGGCTTGCAAAAGTCGATATGTAACTGCGCCACTGTTCAACTATTCGTCCGGATAAACCCTGTAAATAATCTGACTGGAAGGGCTGAGTGGATTGTGGTCAGCTGCCATTTTTTATTCCAGCATGTGCCTCCCAAATTTCACCTGCAGCTCTATTCAGATGTTACCAAGGAGCTAGGGAAGCATCACATTTATATACATTTCTCTGGCCCTGGTCACATGGCAAAGTTGCCATCGGAGAGGCATGGATGGTGGGCGGATTATCCAGGCGCGATCACACCCCAACATCTGGGAACTGGAGCGCACCCGTGGCTTACCGCCGAGAATGCGAGTTAAAAAACTAGTACCTCCAAGGTACTAGTAAACGTTTGCCATGGGCTGCCTCCAGACTCCCGTGGTGTGATCGCGCCGGCACACGGCATTCCCCTCCGGTCCCTCGTTTACCCGCCTGTACCGCGTAATTGCGGATCAAACTGCGCCGGGGCAATTAGCCACGCCTCCCCCTGCGGTATCCGGCCTGTGTGACCGGGGCCTGTGAAAGACATGTATTCAGTTAGAAGTCCTCATTAATGTGCAAAAGCCTAGCAGATTTCAGCCATCTCTGTATTAACAAAAGATCTGATTAAGTCCGTTTTTTTTCACTGACACCTCTTATTTCAAAAATTAACTTGTACTATGAGACTGTGGTGTAAATGTAGGCTACAGCGCCTTCTCACTAACATCGAAGCCCTGATATTTCCCTTTTCCTCCATTTCAAATTAATATAGGAATACAACTTCTTAAGAACTGTGTTGATGCAGAGCTGAAACCTTTGTTCTGCCATGATACTAGAAAAAGAGGCTTTGTGTTTTTGTTATATACATTAACTCCAACAGTGCAAGGATTAGTGGCTTAGTATTCCAGCACTCTTATCAAGTCTAATCGAAACTGACAGGCAACCCACAGAAATGTGTGGGCGTTCTTACTCCACTTCATTTCAGCTCCTTGGAGCTATAGATAACTGCTAGCACATTTGACAGTTTTTTACAATGGATGCTGTTGTAGCACAGGAAGCTGCAAGTGGAGAAAGTATAGAATAGTAAAACAATTTGAGATGAATAATGGTAGTAACAAGCGTTCCAGTTGGCATAAACTGATAGTGCAGCATTAATTTCAAGAAGCAAGAACAGTTACACTAAAGCAGATCTTGTTTAGCTGAATTTTATCTAACTCCTGCGTTTAGGCAGACAAAACAGAACATTTGAACAATTGTGCAAGAAACTGATCCAGTGAAGAGAGACAGGTCTGGATTCCTTTGTCCTGTCTTAAAGACATTACATATAGCCTGTGGAGTGTTTGGGGATAAGTGTCTCAGTGCCGTGGGCAGAAAAAGAATACTTTTTAAAATCTATGTGGAGACGTTTGCACTGGGTACATGTGCCTGAAGCAGATGGTGTCAGAAGGAAAATTCCTCCTGATGTGTCTGGAAGAACTGCAAGAGGTGGCGTTTTCCTTTTTATACATAAAATACAAATGAGGCCCTCCCACAGTCTGGACCTGGTAAACAGAGAATTTTAAAAGTAGTATCCGGTATGATAGAATGGTCTGCTGTTCAAAGAAAAATGTCAGAAATTCCACTGAGAGTATGAAAGCACACTGGAAGTTGCTCTTGGATCTGTGGCTGTTGGTAGACGTAGTATATTATACGGACTGGTCTCGGGAAACAATTTGCATTAATTACTCAGCTTCACTGTATCTTTTGCTTTATATTTGTTGTTTATGTTTTTTTCAGAAATGTACGGAATACTGGCCAGAAGATCAGGTTACCTATGAAGGACTTGAAATCACCATTAACAGAGTGATACAAGCTGATGATTACCGGTTAAGGCTTATTACCCTAAAGGTAAAACCACACAGACGTATATGCAACAACATGAAAATCCTATCCAAGATTGCTTATATACCAGTCATGCCCAGTCAGCAATTACACCCAGTGTGGATAGGACAGTTGACCTATCATTAGTATTTCTGTACTGAGTCCTCTGCCCAATGTCCAAACATGTAAGCAATATAATAGTTCAAGAAGTTAGGCGTTTTTGACAGAGTATGTGAAAGCCGAAGATGTCGTAAAGTAAAGGTAAAGGTGTCCAAGTGCATATATTACTACTTGGCACCAAGTACCAAGTAGTAATATATGCACTATGTGGCCCTAGCTAGGGAAAAGTGTTCTTAGAACCCTCTATGTAAACCGCCCAGAGACCCCTTGGGGTCAGGGCGGTATAGAAGTCGAATAAATAAATAAATAAATAAATAAATAAATATATTGGAGCTGAACTATGAAAAATCAAAGATCTAT